TCCTGGATTTTCTAGGCTAGCTCTAGGGTGGTTTATTCCTCTATAACTAATGAAGGGAACACCCTGATAGGAAACGCCATGCAGTTCTCCTTCGCTGCATGAGGTTGGGAGCAGACATACACCTTCTGCTGGCTTCCCACCCTCTGTGGTGAGAAATCAGGTCAAGACTGAGAAGTGGGCTCAGTGCAGGCTAAGGCTTGCGCTCTGACCTCACTGGCTTGCTCAGCTTCAGCTATGCAGTACACTCCAGCTCTCCCCGTCTGACCTGCTACCTCCCCGTTACTGCTTGTGGCAGACAAGGAACCATCACCAGCAGCTCCGTCCAGGAGTGGGGCTGAGGAAGCACAGCTGGGGAGGCAACTGGTGATGCATGACCTCCGATGGTGGAGCAAAACCCAGTGCTGTGCACAAGCACAACTGGGACCTGGTGCTCAAGGGCTCCTTCTGGAGCTAAGGATAGAGCCCCACAGCCCACCACAGACCAGGCAATGCCCCCTGTCCCAAAGAAGGCCAGGCTCTGCCACTACATTTTCACTCACAGGACACAAAGGCCTTTTGTGGAGAACTTTCTTTGCAAAGCCCACATTTATTTGCTCTTATGTGGTAGGAGGAAAGAGGAGACAGAGACTGGTAAAAGCGATGAGTGCCCTCAGGTGCCCTCCGATACCACTCTACAGAAATCACCTCTTCGTTTTCCTAATCTCCGGCACTAAGACATGGCATCTTGCTGAGTAAAGTAGAGTGTCAGCAAAGAAGGGGAAGATCCTCAGAGATGGACTGACACAGTGGCCGTGACGATGGGCTCAGGTACAGCAAGCACTGTGAGGCTGGCACAGGATTGGACAGCTTTTCATTCTGTTGTCCACAGAGTCACTGTGAGTCGGAGCTGACTTGACAGCACCTAACAACAGCAACAAGACATGGCAAGTGGATGTCACCAAAACAGAGCTTGCTCTCAGAGCTCCGGATGATGTCATAACAAGCTGAGGTCAGGAGCATCTACAGCCAATGGAAGGCTCCCTGCCCACTGGGGAAGCAAAGAAAGGGGCATGCAGGAGAAGACCAGACAGAGTGCCACGGAAGCGTGGGGTGAAAGGGAAGGGGGTGGTGACTGGGGCTTTCCTCGGGTGACCCCCCACGTACTTACATCAGCCCTTTCAATTAGCCTTTGCGACAGAACTGAGACCACTCCATTCTTCTGCAGGTCCCCACTGTCTCACTGTCTCTGAGAACAAGTCTGCCCCAAGTCCTGAGACCTTGTAAAGCTCCGGAAGAGGAAAAGCTGCCTTCATACTAGCCCCTGCCCAACTCTCCCGCAGGTTAATATGACACCATCTAGCCACATGGCAGGACACGGAGCTCTGTGGAAGTCCCACTCTGTCAGAGACCCTTCTCCACGCAGGGTGTTTGCAACCAATGCTCTGGACTGCAACTTCCCCACTTCCCTCCCCTACCCGACCAACCAAGAGGAAGCTGCGACGATGTCTTCCAGGACATGACCCCAACGTGGTTCCTGATCACCACCCTGTACGCACTCAGTGTCCTCCTAGGCTCTGACTCCCAGGCCAAGTGTGAAGTCAGGGCTGCCAGGATGTCAAGTCAGTCTGCTCCCCGGAATCAAAACCTGCCCTATCCCATTAGTTTCTCCAAGTATCTCTTTCAAAACTGTGTCCAGGTCTTTAGATGAGAAGAGGCAGCACTGTGATTAGTGGTTGGTTAGTACTCAGTTCCGGTTGACTTCTGCCATCTTTTTGACACCAACGGGTCCCTTCGTCTCCTCCTCAGCAATGCCAGTGAGGGACTTTCTCATGAAACAGAGACGAACCCAGGACCTAGTGTATGCTATGGCACCACACGGGACACAGAGAGCCTGTACCCTAGCCGCTGCCTCTTCCCGTGGAGAACACTGCTTCCTGCAGTGCCTTCTAGGAGGACTCTCCTCCCATGTTCTTGCAGGAGGGTCAAGGACTGTCCTATTACAAATTCTCCCAGCACACGCAGTCCCTGTAGGACTCCCCAGTCCCAGCCAGTGTGCTTCTGCATATGAAACTGTGTATCATTTTCTCAAGCAGCCACAGAATGATTACAGATCCTTGCAGTTTGCCATGGCATTGCTCAATGAGCTGATCCCTCTTTCTTGGTAACTTTTTACCAATTAGGACTTTGGCGTGCCTTTTAGGAAAGCTGCAACTTTATAAATTTGCTTCTTGGAGGACATTAAACAAATCTACTTTTCAATTTAAAAATGAAACTGTATTGGGGAGGCAAAGCCCTGGAGCCTCTTTTTCCAGCCAGGTTGGAAACACACGGGCAAAAGTCTCCCCCACAAACCAAACAAGGAAGCCAAGGCAATGATTTAAAATAAACACTTGCTAAATGGAAATATATTAAATAAGGCTGTACTGTAAATTCCAAAGGAGTGACTTCCTAAACTAAATACTGTCAGAGACTCTCCAAGTCAAGGGATGAAACACTGACCTGACCCTCATTTCTGCCACACAATTTTATACATGGAAAAGCTGAAAACGTTCTTCATTTTCCCCAGCTTGGAGATAAAATAATGGAAAAGAGAAAAAAACAGAAGACAGAAAGACATCTTCCATTTTAAACCCACGCAGGTGCCAAAGGCAGTATTAAGTATCTCTGCAGAGAGTAAAAGCCTTGGCATTTTGCACGTCTGCTGAACCCCACTTACCTGGCACATAATCTGCCTTTGCAGAGGTTGATTTCTGATCTATGCCTGAAATTCCCTGATGTCCGAGCACTCAGTAAGAGGCTAAGTGCTTGCAAGGACAATGAACAAATTGCCAACTCTGTCCCCAGCAGTTGTCAAGGATGAGTGAGTACCCTGAATTCTGACCTTCCATTCTCCAAGTGTTTGAGAGCTGTCTGAATGCAGGGTGATGAGGAAGGTGAGGCTGATGCTCTGGGAAATGAGTGCTATTTCTCTCTCTCTCTCTACCTCTTCCTATTGAGTCCATTCTGATTCATGGTGACCTGTGCTCCACAGGGTTTCCTAGGCTGTAATCTTTATGGAGGTGAGCTGGTGGTGCAGTGGTTAAAGCAC